ATATCAGCTCTGCAGGATACCTAGAAAATGAAACGCAATGAATTGCACTGAAAACATAGAATAAAATGAAATGAAATAATGAAATTAAGTAAAATAAAATAAAATAAAATAAAATAAAATAAAATAAAATAAAATAAAATAAAATAAAATAAAATAAAATAAAATAAAATAAAATAAAGTCTGCAACGGAACATCAGTGTTGTAACGAGCTACACAATGTCTCCAGGGCCTGGCAGAGCGGCCATGAAAGGAGCGCGGCCCTGAGCGTGACCCGTGAGGGCCCACAGGCCCGGTGCCCCCGGGAGCGCTGCCCGGGCCCCGAGGGCGCGGCCGCGGCGGGACCTGGCCTCAGGGGCCCTCGGAGGGGCCGTGCTCCCTCGGGCCCCCGGGCGGCACTGCCCGGGCCCCGCAGCCCCTGCTCCCCGCGGCCCCGGGGGCTGGGAAGGCGCGGCCGAGGGCCCGGCAGCGGGCAGGGCCCGGCCGAGAGGGGTGAGCCGCCCGGCCCTTCCTGCTGTGGATGGTGCGGCGGGGAGGGCACGTCTAGCCCGCCCTGGAGAACCAGAGCACGGCTCCTGGGCAGCAAGAGTGACTGTAGGAAAAGGGGTGCCCTACCTCGGGCCGGCCGCAAGAAGGAGGCCACTTGATCGTCACGGTCGAAGATTGGAAGAATATTCTCACTTAGCAAAAGCTCAGAAGCAAATGATGACCCCATGCAGTGCCCTCTCTGCCCGGGCCCTGCTCCCCAGCGAGAGGAGGGTGAAAAGCCGCCTGCTCACCCCTGAGCTCCGGGGGCAGGGGCGCGGGAGCGACCGCCCCGACGGGGGCTCTTCCGGCCGCCTCTGGGGGACCCCCACGGGCTCTTCTCAATGAGACCTCAGCCACAGGAGCGTAGAACCGGGGCAGCCGTGCCTGTGTGAGGGGCGGAGGCAGGGAGGGAAAACAGCCCCCCGATCGGACGCCTTCTCTGCGGGCTCCCGCAGAAGGAGAGGCGCTGCCGGCAGTCACCTAACCCCGCTCCCGGAGCACCCACGATCCCTCCCGGTCCAAAGCACCAGGCTCTGGGCACAGGCACGCTCCCAGACGGTCACTGTTTGCCCGCTTGAATGGGGTGGGATTTCAGGTTGGAAATAGACGGGAAGACAGACTTCCTATCGTGGGGGAGGCTGGGGTCCCACGATGTTTTCGGGGACCCGCTGCTCAGTCTTGGGCCAGTCTGGAGACCCAGGTGTGAGGGAGCCTCTGCAGGAAACAGATCCAGGCAAAGGAAAAGAAGGATGTAAGGACAGGGCAGGGAATGCATACCGATGCGGAGATAACCTCACAGCTCCTTCCCGAGCTAAACGCCTGGCCCGCGCAAGCACTGCCGAGAGAATCTCGTTCAAAAGACGATGATAATTTGGATAAAATAGAGAAAGCCCCTGCAAGTCAAAGCGAAGGGCCGACAGATGCTGCTGCTGCCAGGGGGAACTTAAACCGGAACGAACTGAAACAGCGCTCCGCGTTAAAATTAAAGCTCCCGCCGCTTGCACCGGCCCACGGGTGGGAGAGAGCCTGCGGGCGGCGCTCCCGGGCGGCGCTGGGCCCCAAGGAGCTCCGACCCGTGGGCAGCGCCGCGCCGGGGCCAGCTCCGGTCCTCCAGCAGCTGCGGGAAGCCCCTTCCCAGGGGCCAGAAGGCCATTCCCAAAACTCAGACGCTTGCTGAGCGGCCTTTGCGGGGCCCAGCTCTTCCTGACAGTGCTGGTAACACGGTGTCCCCTGGAAGTCCTGCCCCCGCTCCACAAACATATTTCCGTATTTTTAGGTCAGATTCTATGTTTGCACCGTTGGCAGAGAGCACTTGTGGAGCAATGAGCTGAGACCCTGATCCCATCTAGCCCAGTAAAGCTCACCTCAGCCTGCACTTTCTCCAGGTTGCACTAAAAAGCTCGTCCTGAAAAAAAAAAATGTAAAAACCAAAGAAAGAAAAAAAGAAGAAACAAACAAACAAAAAGTGTACAGAAACTGATACTACTCGAACGAGAGCTGGGGAAAGGTGTAATTAGGGGCAGTGGTACTAACCTGACTCCTGAAAAGCCCATCAGCTAGGCGCGACTGGAGAGCTCCTGGGTACTACACAGCGTCCCGCATCCTAGGAGAGTGCTTCTCTGCTGAGCCTGCTGTAAAGAATACTGATAAATCCCGCTGGACTCGCAGAGCATCCTACATAGGGCTTCACCACATAAAAGCTCAAGTACAGGGCAAGGGCAACTACTAAAATACCCGCTTTTTCCTGTGGCTGTGGGCAGAGGCGTTCTGACCCTTTTCTGGACTTGAGGGAGGGTTTTCTCCACCAGGGCTGCACCACAGCAACCGGACCGAAGAGAATTTCCAGCAGCGGCTGGCTCTGACTAGGGCTTGCTTATTATACATCAAGTCGAGAGGCGCTAAGCAGATTAAGAGAAGATCCTGCCTGTGCTCTCACCTCTGGGAGCAACCTCGGGAGGAGCTAAGCCCGCAGCCGGACAACAGGAGGCGCTGAGGCTTTGTACAAGCCGCGGCTCCCCTCCCCTCCCGGGCCGCGGGCACCCCAGCCTGGGAGGCCTGGGGGGCCGGCCCGCAGGGCGGCTTTGCCGGCTCCACGTTTGCTCCGCCCGGTGAAACGCCTCCGTGGTTTGTAGCAGCATCCGATGAGCGTGGCCGGCTTAGTGCCTGCCCTTTTTTCCAGGTACGGCGTGACCCAGCATGGGCTGCCCTGCGTCCCGTCGGGTGTTGCTCCCGCGGGGCTGGGCCCTGGAGAGAGAGGCAGCACCGCCCCGAGGTCACCCAGCGGGGGGGTGCCGGCAGCGGGGTCTCTGGGGCAACTGCACTGCTGCCAGCATCCCCGCATGCCACTGGGCTGCCAGGGGGGAACCGTACTCCACACACCTCAAACACTGAAATGGGCAAGCCGCCACCGAAAGGTCTCTGTTTTCAGACATATAATACACCGCTTCCATTAGGAAAAGAGGAAGGATGCATACATCATTCTAATATTTCTTAGATATTCCACTGGGGTTTGTCCCAATTTCCATGGGTGTAATTTGACCATTTGAGAAAGCAGGGGTTTAATCCAGTGCTTTTATATATTTTATTTCCTTCAAGACATATTTTCATTTGTTGTTCTCCTCTGCTGATTCCAGTGTTTTGTTTGTTTCAAGGATTTGACTTAATTCTGTTGCCAGATAAAAAAATAAAAAAATTTAAAAATTAAAAAATTAAAAAGTTAAAAAAATAAAAAAGGAGAGAAAGAACAAAGAAAGGGGTAACAGAAAATGCATTTGGATAACAAGTTAAAACATATTTGTCGTGGCAGAGATATGCTGTATCTAGTCATTTGAATTCTGTGCCTCTATAAGAAACTTTAAAATCCTGTTTATGGGGGTGACATTTCCACAGATCACTCGAGAACAAATCACGGTGGAAGCAACTTTGGCCATCCTGAAGAATAAACACGTCAAGCTGAAATTCATACCCGAGTGTGTATTATAGTTTGTGTGGTATGATTAAGCCTTTTTCAAAATCACAAGAAGCTTTATTTCCCCTTCAAATTCCCACTGTTGGAAAAGTTGTTTGGGTTTGGGGGGGGGAAGGGTTATTAGTTGCTGGTTGGTGATGTAGACTTTTTGTTTTGTTTTGTTTTGACTTTTTGGTTTTTGTTTTCTAGTATCAGGTGATAAAAGTTCTAGTAGCTAGGTGGAACGAACTCACAAGGGATAGGATAGAGAAACCTAAGAAAAGTCCGTGGTGTTGACATAGGCTCGAAGAGCCGGACAGGACAGAAAATGTTTGATCCCTCTGCAAAGACTGAGAGATTCCTTCCATAATAATGAAAAGCTTTTTCCAATGTCAGTTTGTTTTATCGGTGTTTTTTACCTTTTACCAGCCTCTGTAGAATCCTCCTCCCCTGCTCGTTGTGAGAAATCAGGTCAATAAGCAAGAAGTTGGAAATTAGGTACTCGCTACCTATTATTGCTGCTCCTGGGCTTCTGGCATCAGAGAAAGCTTCCAAATGAGCCTTCTGGGCTGAAGGCTTTCCACAGTAAAGATATAAAATGGTTCTAGTGACTCACCTGATGTTTGCCAAGTGGAGGTTAATATCAGTGGATCCGCATTCAGGCCTCTGTCCTTATTTATTGGGAACCCATAGTATTATGTCTCAACACGGTGACTCTCATGGTTTCTGAACATAAGGCACCCGAAAAAGCAATGTCATTATCACCATCGACATAGGACGGCACCCTGTTTGAAGGGCTATTTTAGCCCGGAGGAAGGGGGCTTGTGGTGGGACGAGGGTTGGGAGGGCTTTTGGGAGCCTGGAGCCGAGCCTCCTGCTCGCAGCCCGGAGCGCCCAACCCGATCCCCTGCCCCGAGGGCGATGGGAACGTGGGGCACTGCGGCAGGGCCTGGAGGGACCCTTCACAGGGGGAACCAGCTGTGGAGTGACGGGCGGGAGAGGGGGCAACCTGCGGACTTCAGGACTCGGGACTTTGAAGCACGTCCCGGCCATCAAGTTAAAGGAGCATCTACCGGCCTTTAGTAAATATTGCCTCTAATCTCAGGGGTTTAAGGCTGGATGGCCTTTTGCGTTCTCTTCAAATAGAAGGGGCTGCCCTTCCTTCATCTGCCTGATTTTATTTCACCCTATTCCTCCTAGCACTTGTCCTGTCCACCTGAAAGGGTGGTCGTGCCCGTTCCCCGTCCCATCCCGTCCCGCCCCCCGCCCCCCTCTTTCCCCCTCTCCCACCTCTGTCTCTCCTTCTTTCCCCACAAGCTTAAACCAATTACGCAGCTTTGCAAATAAAGTGCCGCCCGGGGGGAGTTGCAGGCGAGGGGGACTGCCTTGTTTGCAGGTGCATCTCCGGCTTTGTAGGTGCGAACGCCTTTGTGCGGCGGACAAATGGGGAGAGGAGGAGGAGGAGGTGGGTACTTCTGCGACGTAAGATCCACATCAGCTCAACTCCACTCACATCCCAGCCGCACTTCCTCACTTTCTCAACTGTCTCGCCCCACACCGCTCCCTGCCTCCTTTTTGGCTGGTTATAGAGCAGAATTCAGCACCCCCCGCCCCTCCTGAGAGCTGGCTTCCTGCTAGGTCGGGCTTTCGGGCTCTTTTCTGCTGCCCGTCGCTCGCTTGCAAGAAGGCTGGATGGTTACACCGGGCAGGTTGGCTCCATAATGTTAGGGACTGTGAAAATGGAAGGGCATGAAACCAGCGACTGGAACAGCTACTACGCCGACACTCAGGAGGTGAGTAAATCCCAGGGTCTGGCTTCGCTGCTGCCCCTGTGCAGGGGAGGGGACGACCTGGGGGTGGCTAGGGGTCTGGAGGGGGCAGCAATCGGAGGAATCGGTTTGCAGTCCAGATCCTGCCAACGCAAACGTACCTCCCCCTCCCTCCGGCGCCGAAACTGGCTTGGCTTCCCCAAGGAAAACATAGCTTCCAGGAGCCCTGGAGGCGTTTGGGGAAGACTCGGGGCGGCTGCGAGCCCGCCAGGAGGGCCGGGGGGCCGGGGGTAACCCTTGATCTCATCTAAGAGGCGTAATCTTCTCTGGCGGCGGGCACAAAAGCACCCCGTAAACTCTTGGCTCGGGGCAGAGCGCTCGCCGCGCCGCCGGCACCCGCCGCCTTCCCTGCAGATGGCAGGGGCCGAGGGAGGCGGACGCCAGCGCGTCCTGGTCTGGGGCAACGCCTTCTCCGAGCTTCTCGGCGGGACCCCCGGCCTCTCGACTCGCCAGCAGCGGGCCCTCACCTGTTAAGGCCGGGCGAAAGGAAAGCAGGGGGAAGACCAGCCGTTTGTCCGTACTTTGCGGACGGGCTGCCCAAGGCGTGCGCTGCTGCCGCGGGCCGGCTGGCGGCGCTGCCGAGAGCCGGGCCGGGAGGGGGCCCGCACCGGGCCCGCCGCCCCTCGCCCGGACCGGTCCGGACCGCGGCGGGCGCTTCCGCCCCCCGCGCCCGTTTGACAGCGCCGTCCATAAGGTGGAGGAGAACCGGCCCAAGCGCCGGCAGCTGCGGCGGAGGAGAGGGCCGCGGCAGAGCCCGGAGCCTAACCGCTGTGCCCCTCGGCCCTGTGGGGCCTGGGCTCCGCGCTGTGCCGCTGAGGCTCTGCAACGGGGGTCCCGGAGAAGCCAGCGCCCGGCAGCACGGGCAGCCGCGCCGCGGATTCCCGCCCTGGAAGGAGCCGTTTTGAGGAAGTGCGGCAGCGAGGCAGCACCTGGGTGCGCGCACCCGGGCATTGCATCAGCACACCCGGACACACGGCTCCGCAGTCCCCACGCCTCGTCCCGCACCCGGGACTGGCACACGCGCCCAAGGGCCACGCGGACAGAGGCAGATACGTGTCACCCGGCTGGCATCTCCTTTAATAAAGGAAAGGCGGCTAAGGGCAAACAAGGGTCATCCTAATTATGTGCCGTTTCCAGACTCATTTTTCCTCGCTTATAAGCATTGTCCACAAACATAAAGTTAAGGGAACTTCGCTTTTACTATTTTTTTAAACTTCAGTCTTTCCTCACCTCTTGCCATTTAATTTGAATAACTGCAAGAATGCAACGTGGGAAACCCAGCCGGGCTCTGCCATGTCAAATAATTAATGTGATCCTCTAAATCAAAAGTGCGTTTATAAGTTCGTGAAATTTGTGGGGATCAGAAATGAGTTTTAAATATTTAACCGTTGCTTAAACCTCCTTTTCTTAGCCATATTAGCAGTAGTTCGAGTAAACTGGAGACGTCTTTCTCTCTCCTGTTAAATCATGTGCCATAGTGGAAAACACAAATTCAAGCTCTCCGGCTGTGCCTTTTTTAAGAGTTGTATTATGTGTTAGGGTTCTTCAATTTTTTTCCACGTTGTGCAATTGTAGAAAATCTCAGAGAGGAGGAGTTCAAGCTTTTCATACTTTGGGATAGTTTTGGTGTTTGATTGGTTGGTTGATTGTTTTTTTTTTTTTTTAACTTTAATTTAAAGACTGTTTTGATAGAAAATGTAGACGGGGGAAGCTTCCTACAGATAAAACAGGCCAAATAGACCTGTTTGGTTTGGGTGGCGGTTTTTTAAATTATTTTGCAACAAGACATTATTACATCTTGTATGTTTCTTAGAAAAGAAATTTAAATTATTGCGGGAAGGGAGACATGCATGAGATTTTTCTCAGAAAATACAAGCAGTCTTTCTCCTTAGCGCAAACAGTGTATGCCCACCAATTTCAGTACTCTGGTGAGTTTAAGTACTTAACTAGCGAGACAGGACACATAAAAACAAAAAGCGGGAATGCGCCGGAGAGAACACGTCGTGCTGGGGCAGTGTGAGCCTGCAGCCCGGCT